AAAGGCAGAAATTTCAGAGTAAAACCCGCAGAGTCAGGTTGGGATTGAAGACCAACCCAATCCATGTGTAAACTGGGCCGGGAATTGAACCTGGGTCACATGGATGAAAGGCAAGGAAAGAGCCACTATGCCAGCCTGACTCCCCACAGGTTTGTCCCCCCACGTAGAAACCTCCACTCCACTTAGAATGGGAAAAACATTAATTTATGATCAATGCTTGTCCTCATTCAGGCAAACAGCGAACTGCAACGACTGCGGCGAGAAGCAGTTAAGTCGCCCAAGACATCCAGAGCCTCCGTGGCAGCTCAGTCCATCCTGCAGCGGGTGGAGCTGGAGAGGGATGAGGCCCTGGCTGACCTGAGAAGGATGGTGACCGAGAGGGACAGCCTCAGAGAGAGATTAAAGGTCAGGGATTATCTGAGTAGCTTCTAACAGTCTGTCACAAGTCAAAGGCTGGAGGAACTAATTGATTGAATTGATGAAATGGGTAAGGTCCTGGCTGTTCAAGAAGTGATTAGAGCTAGGCCATTATGGGGTCTGACTCAAACTATAAAGCCTTGACCAAGAGGAGAAGTCCACTTTCTTGCATAAGTTGAACATCTGCATTGAAACTTGTCATGTTGAGCAACTGCATACTTGAGAATTGGTGGGGAAAATTTTCATACCACCTGTTCCATGAGTTTGAAAAGTTTGCATAAAATGCTGGTGAAAATACTGTAAGAGGCTAAACCTTGTTTTTCTCCTTTCATTCAGATTTCCACGGACACTCATTTGAATGAAAAGGCGCGTCTTGAGCAGAAAGTTGAAGACTTGGAAAAAGCTGTTGAACATGTGAGCACTTAAAGTTTACTGAACATGCTGAATGCTGTTATGTTTTGGTCAGTATATGCAATGTGTGCTCACTGATGTCACTGTACGTATGTAGCACGTTATGTCCTGATGGAAACTACACGTACATATATTTTTGACGTTTCCTAGACACCTGTTTCTCGTATACATTGTTGGTATTTTTTGGCAACTGGTAATTAAAAAAATAGTTTGAACTTATATGTACATCGGAAGGTAGTGCTGTACATTAAAGTCAGTGATGAGCGGAGATGATTTAACTTGACTTGACCTGTACTGAAATTTTCAAGTCTGTCATGAGTCAAATAAAAGGACCCAGTTACAAGTAACAGAGTGAATTATGGCAAAGGAATACTGTTGTCACAGTGCATTTGAATAGCTCAAGACCCAACCATTGAAACTAGATGACTTTTGATCAACTTGTAATGCACTGAACTGTCGGTGCCCATGTTGAAGGGGTTGGAAGTACATAGGATCATTAGCATGATTTTTTTTCCTTAAAAAAAAAACAGGATTACCAACCAAAATGTTCATGTGTTTTACATTGCTTGTGACTGGTGTTCAGCTGGTGTTTGCTTTGCATGCACTCGTTTGCCTGTCTGCTTTAGAACATCACATGGTCTAGCTCAAAGTTGGAAAGGTAATAAGTAAAATTTGTCACCTTGCCTGGCAAGCAGACTGATTGCATATATCTTTCATTCAATCCACTGAAGGCTGAGCAGGACCGCAGTAGCCTCCAATCCAGGGTCCAGTCATTCCAGGCTATGATATCCACTCTGGAGGAACAGGTCCGCTCCCAGGCTCTGCGGATAGAGGAAGCTTACGAGGAGTCTTCCCAACACAAGGCCACCTCCACTCAGATGAGGTTAGGCGATGACTGCCTTTTGCTCTGTGGCTTTCAAATTCACATTTTAAAAAGCTCAGGGGAAATGCCTCTTTAGAAGAATAAAAATGAATTCTTCTGACACAGAAAGAAGAGGAATTTCAATTATGTTTGGGTCATTTTCAGCTGTAGACAATTACAGCACAATATATTTTCCACTTCAGAAATTAATGGGCAGAATTATTGAATTCTTCCATATTTGGACTTGCCATTTTAATAGTAGTTTTGGATGAATCACCTTGATCCTGTGTTGGGTTGCAGATTGCTAGCTGAGCAGGCAGAGACATCACTAGGGGATCACCAACGAAGGTTGAACCAACGTTCAGGGGAGTTACAAGCAGCTGACGAGAGAAATGCCCGACAGGAGGAGCGTATCAGTAAGTAAACTATTCTGGATTACCTGTTTACCCTCTGTTGCCTCCTAAAGATTTTGCCGTGAAATCCATCCATTACAAGGGCGTTTCTTAGTAACTGAATGTTTTAGAAGTGCAAACATAACTGTCGGAAAAAAAATAACATGGTGTCTGGTTGTAATCATTTCATTGGATGAACTTTGAACATTCCTTTCTCTGTTTAAACTATTTTGCTCTGATTATGAAAATGAACTCTAGCTAAAGGAAGATCCGCTTGCCCTGTCCAATTTTTGAAGCATACAAATATAGTAGTACGTAGTATCAGTCAACTGTCAAATGTAGTATACTGCACAATTACCATGTGTGTGAAGGTAGCAAGCAAATTTGGCAAGAAAATCTGTGATCTTTTGAATGGTCAGTTGATAAGTAAAACAAGCGTTACTCCTCGGTGAGTGATACAAGTATTCAAATCACCGCAGCATTCCATTCTCTACAGTATGAACCTGAAGTTCTTCACTTTTACAGACAGTATCATTTGAAGGGAATTCAAGAAATTGACCTTGTGACATCAAGACGACTTGAAAGTGCCTTCTATATAGCAATCCCAATATCTATCAATTTCTCCAGCCGATTTGACAATAACCAACAACGCCTTACACGATGAGGTGAGGCAGCTTCGCGGGACCATCAGCTCACTAGACAGAGAGAAGGACACCCTCCAGAATGCAGTCGATGACAAGACGGAGAAGATTGCTGCCTTGGAGCAGGAGCTGCTTGGGAGAGGACGGACGCTGAGTGACACCAGGGCAACACTGGAGGATCTCCAAGACAGACTGGAGTAAGCAAATGAACCGTTTGCAATTTAATGAGGGATAATCTGGGATCGTGGTATTTTCTACTCACAGGGTTCCCACGGTCATGGAGAATCTTGGAAAAAAAGTTGACCTAAAAAGTGATGGAAGTCTTGGAAAATTGGGGGAAAAAATAGGTAGCCCTGAAATCCTGTTTTCAGAGGGAAAAAAGACTTGGGGAAAAGTCACTGGCATCAAGATCATGCTAGGTTAGGTTTTGATGGGCTGCTTTTGATGTGATAATGGAATAATGATGAATTGACTGGCTATCCTTGTCAGTCTGACAGCTGTGGCATTCTTCCAGTTCATCGTACTAAACAACTTTTCTGTGTAAAACGGCATTAAATGTTCATGGAAATCTTCATATTTTAGTCCTGGAAAAGTCCTGGAATTTGGTTTTCAGATATCTGAAGGAACCCTGTACTCAGCAACATCCAACTGTGGAATGGTCTGAAGTCTTGTGCCATTCTCACCCGCTGTGAACAGTGTGTTGGTGATAGGGAATACTTGTTGCTGTATGGGGGGGGGCTTTCTCTGTAGCATGTGATGTAGCAAGTCAGCACCAGATGTTATTCTTTACTTACCACACAAAAAGCACAGGTCACCCAGAGATACTTTCTGTACTTGTGTCGTGCTGTGACAAAATCACAAACAAGTCTGTGCAAAAGACGGATTCTTCGCTTTTGACCTCACTGTCAACGGAAAAGCAAGTTGCACACTTGTTAGAAATATAAAGCATTATGTTTTCTGTACACATTTTAAATGCTATGACTGATGATTACTTTTTCAGGATCAAAAAGTCAAGCTTCCTGTTCAATATGATGGGGAGATTCACAAAATTTAATGAGAAAACTGCCGTGCGTGGTCACCCAAGATTTTAGTCGGCGTATTATTGACAGCTGTTTCACCACATTTCAGGCGTGCCAATGACGAACTGGGAACTAAAGATCGTGAGGTGCGCAGCCTACGCAGGCAGCTAGATTCATCACGCGATGAGTTGACGGAGACAGTGCGAGGCCGAGATGCTACCATGAGAGAAAACAGGAGGCTGCAAGAAGACTTGGCAACAATGACAAGAGAAAACCAGGTAAATAATCCTGATGAAAATTGAACATTGTACACCTTTTTTATTTAACTTGTTTAGGGAAAAATGCACTGAAGAAATATTTTATCAATTCTTATTTAACCAGGGGCCCCAGGGGAGAAGACATTGAAGAAATGTTCACTTTAAGAGGTGGGAAGAAAAATCCTTTTAAATGTTTTGGGGAAACCCATGGACACCCACACATTGGCCTGTTTGGTGTCAAACCTAAGTCACAGAGGTGGAAAGCATGGAAAGTGCCACTTCTCCAACCTGACATTCCTTGAAATACTCATTCTGATGTTGTACGAATCAGAGGTACACGGGACGCTATAACACTGCTGTTGGTATTAAACCAGTCAGTGTAGAAGATTCAAGTTTGCTTGAACATAAGTGGTACATTTTTTCCCCGGAGTTACCTGGTGGAGTTTTGCCAGGAGTATTGCCAGGAGACCCAAGTTGGACTTGATGCCTTACACTCTGTCTTGTCACCTCAGGCAGTCAATATCGAGCTGGAGGAGGCAATAGAGGAGAGAGAATCTCTCAAGGAGCAAGTTCAGGAGTACATCGCTGAGGTTGCTAGGATCGAGGACTTGCTGGCTGCCAAGGTTGGGAGGAAAAAGGCAGTGTAACGATGATCACAAGTGACTTGTATTGGGGTTGTTTGGGTGTGCCATCCTTCAGAAATGAAGACAGAACAGGAAAACGGAAAGACAAAGTTTTCTTGAGAGAAATTAGTAGAATTGAGAAAACAGGAAAATTTATGAACGTGCGTTGCTGTGTTTGATTACTTTGTTTAGTCGCATTTGGATATTGATACCCATCTGATTTTGACTCACCCCAAAAAAGAGATAACAAAATGTGTTATTGCCCATTACCTCTCGAATCAGTTGGAAAGTGTTTATGCTAGTTGAAACAATGCAAACACCTGAAAATTGTATTTGAAACTTCCATGCACAGTGCAGTACTGAGACCTTAGTAGAAGATAACTGTTATCACCAAGAGTAAACTGCCTATTGTTGGGCCCGTATCCATGTTGCTGCAAAGCAGAATCGTCGCTTAACCAATTTCCATGCTAAGCAAAAGTGAGCAGAGAACCAGTCACAATTATAAACGGTCACTGCATGGCAACTTGACTTGTAGCCTGTTTTTTGCTAAGCGTGTATTTTGTGAGCTCAGCAAATGGCAGTGCTCAGCAGTTGCGGGTGCAATTAATGCCTCACTTGTCTCACTCAGGAGCGTGAAAACAGGGACCTGCTAGAGAACTACCGCTCTGCCACCTCAGAGGCTCAGCGCTGGGAGACAGAGGCCTCACAGCGCTCCGGGGAGACGTCGACCTTCAAGGTGGAACTGATGACCAAAGATGCCGAAATGAAGAGACTCAGGGACAAGATCACCCTCCAGGAGAGAGACATCCAACAGGTACTCGGACATTCAGTTATTTGTTCAATCTATCGAAAGTCCATGCCAACCTTTGTTAAGCACTTGCAGACAGTAACGATGGACAGGTGCCATTTTCTATTCGGCAGAATATGTCACGTTTCTAAACTGACTAGATAACATCGCCATTTTTCATGTTTAAGTTGGAGACCACAAACGCTGACTTCTGTGGTTAGTCGGGTGGGCATTGACAGATGACGGCAGGTGGTAACCATTAGCTTGGTTTAGGGTTTTGGGGAGTTAAATACATGTAGGTTACATTTATTGCACAATTTGTTTATTATTGGTATTATTATTTATGTGGCCAACAAGAGAAACAAGTAGATTGACAGAGGAGAATATATAAAAACTATACATACAAAATTGAAAATGGAGGGGGTGGGGTGGGATGGAGGGGGTGGAGGAAGGTGGGGAGGAGGGAAGGGTGGGAGCAGGGGTGTGTTTATATGTTTTACAATCACTTCGCCCATTTGCCACTTTGCCCACGCACCACTTCGCCCACGCACCACTTCGCCCACGCACCACTTCGCCCACGCTGTACATGTACATATCAGACAGAATGCACCACCACCACCACCTTAACTTCACTTATAAAAGTTGAAAATTTGAGTATCACGGCATTGTAACAAGTAAGTGTTACACCAGCAGAATTATGATGTTCATGGGGAGAGTATATGTATGATGAATGATACATGTATGTGGCGACCACTCTTGATCAAAGAGATCCATCGTCATTTCTGTACATGTATCTGTCTTTTTCTGTTTCTTTTCTTTTTCCTTTTGGCCATTGTCAAAGTAGTTCTACAAAAGTACAAGGCTCACACATGCATCACCACATGCACATGCATCACTCAACCAACCGCGTTTCTTTGGCTGAATCCTCATCTGAAACAAGGCTTTCTAACTTAAAAATGGGTTATGGGCAATCAGGACGATGATGCAACTTTCAACTTTTATAAGTGAAGTTAAGGTACGTGACTTGGCGGTGCATTCTGTTGGATATGTACAGCGTGGGCGAAGTGACGCATCGGCGAAGTGGCAAATGGGCGAAGGGGTAAATGGGCGAAGTGGCAAATGGGCGAAGTGGTAAATGGGCGAAGTGACCGACACCTGTTTGTACATGTACATCATGTACAAAAAATAGATATATTAGGGGTGTTTTATCTAGCTTTGGGCTTGACTTTCTTTCACGTCACATCAGTTACTTTTCTACATAATGTTCATGCCTAAACTATGTACATGAACTTCGACTTTTCAGACATATAAGTTTTTATGGGCGGGGTATATAACAATGTTTTCATGTACAAGTACATGTACATGGCTATTGAAATTTATATGCACTTTGGGTCCACACAGGTACCATTTATGACAGGGATTACTTGGAATATTGATAGCTTCCATAAATAGAAAGTTATATCCACAAATTGTAATTTATCTTTCTTTTGTGTACATAACCTGTTTCAATGTGTCGGACTTGTACATGATAGGAGTGTACAATGTATTACGCTAAAATTCATTGTATGCGTGCGTTAACTTGTGCAATACTATAAAATATTTCCAGTAGACTGTATACTTCATTGTGCGTAATCCTTCAATGATACGATTTCATAATTTCCCTCTCTTGCTTTTGTTCATCTTTTCCTGCTGATATCGATCAATTCCACATATCTGCAACCCATAGTATATGTATTATAATAACCACATACCTATTAAGGGAAAAAGAAGATCTGATGTTCCAAAATATTTTCATTATTGACAGGTTTATGCCGAAGTTGAAATTATTAAGTGGAAGTTGTTGAACAACTATGTATGGCACATTTTGATTGGTTTTCAATATCACATTATATTAAATTCCTTCCTGCACTTGACTCTGACCTCAATCAATACGGGTGATTCACAATAGTGCGCCACCAAGAATTTGCAATGTGTTGGCCAATCATAACGTGCAAAATTTGTCGACCCTTTCCAAACACACACAGGGTCGACAAATTTTGCACATTATCACACACACATTGTGATTGGCCAACGCGTTGCAAACTCTTGTTGGCGCACTATTGTGAAACGGCCGTATTGTGAAGAATAACAGGCTTGTGGCAACACAGCAAAACATTACAGAATAAAAGTCGCTGCGGAATACCAGTGAAGAGCAGAGAACAAAGGAAAGAGGGTCATTATCTGATGCAAGCCACTCATGGGATATCCATCAACTATGACTTGTATTGAGTCATTATCTAATGCGAGCCACACATGGGATATCCATCAACTATGACTTGTATTGAGTGAATAATGGTGGGGTTGTTGCTCCACTAAAACCACACAGCCTTGGGAGTACTTCAACGTATCAGTGGAGCCGAAGGCATTTATGGTTAGAATTGGCCCCTTGACAACACTAATCGATAATAAATGTATCGGTCAGACCGTTCTGTCGGACACCTAGGCAATAGGAATTTGGAAATGGTGCCTTACTTTCATACCACCTTTCCAACATGCCCAGGCATTGCCATGGAGCGATGCATTGCTACCATGGCTGGCCATTGCTCTTGGCTGTGTCAGGGTACCGGGTACATTCAGCCTCCACAGACTGATTAGTCCCTCTGTGTGTTCGTAAAAAACAATAGGAACCACTGATGGGGGAGGGCCTGTACACAGCACCTGCCTCTGTGAACATAACTTGATAGACTGGTTCCCGTTCCGTACGTAGTCTCCAGACGTCTTATAGGCGTCCTCTGAACGCGGGGACTGGTAGCGGGTGATGAATCCAGCAGAATCCTGCCGAGTGTATGTAAATGAGGAAACGATTCCTGCTCAATGCACAAATCAAGCAGCAGCTGATAGCATATTATTCTGTTTCTTCATTACCGAAAAAAACTTCACCATAAATATTTCATACATCTAAAATTAACACAATGACCACTGACTTGAGATAAGTTACTGTCAAATGATCTATTGATGAAAAGGATTAAAAAATATATTACCTTTACTGTGATCGACAGAGGCGTAGCAAGGATAGTTACTTGTGATTTATTTACTTTTCGCTGCAACGTAATTGGTCTGACAAAAATTTAAATATTCAGCATCCAAAGCTAATCGCATATGTTAAACTGCAGCTAGCTATCGGTCCCTCTTTAGTCCATCACAGGGCCAATGCTTTGTTGCAGTTGGCTTTTAATAACCCAATTGGGTAAATCCTGAAAATTTTGTTCAATACCCCCCTCAGCACATATCAGCAGTCCAAGCCTACGAGCTGCAGGTGTCTAGCCTGACAAGGTCCATCGCTAACTTGGAGGACAGCGTCAGACAGCTGCAGGACGAGAAGGAGTCGCTCGTCCAGGACCTCTCAGCCGTCAGGGATCTGTGCGTTAAGCTGGAGAACACAAAAGAGGCAATGTCACGACAGCTGACCACCAGAAACATTGACACAGAGCAGGTAGGACTGGAGACGTTACACCTCAATGGGAAGTAGGAGATCTGCAGAAATGAGTGGGGTTTCAGGCTCCCGATGCCTTGTTGACGATGCAGATAACAATTTTTTTCAATGTAGAGATCAGTCACCCTTTTTTCTTCATGCATGACAAATGTCAACCATACAGATGAAAGATGTCCTACTTGTCACTGTGTTCCATTTTTCGGAGACGATAAGCCTTGGAGTTTAGCACATGTAACTTGAATTAGAATTCAGGAGCATGACATGTCTTGTCACAGAAGTAGTCAAACACGACTACTTTACACCATGATCCACACTGAGTAGATCAAGTTTAACCTTGTCTTCATCGCCTGTTGAACAGCTTGAGTCCACAGTAGAAGACCAGAGGCACGAGATTGAGATGTTACGCAACCAGGTGGTGACAGAGAGGGCCTCCGTGCGTAATCTGGAGACTCTCCTCTCCAACAACAGAGAGAAGGAATTCCAAGCTCAGCTGGACAGCCAGGAGCAGCGATCTGAGCTGCAGCTGGTCAAAGACAGGCTGGCGTTAGCCGACAGCAAAGTGTATGTCTCGTTGCATTTTTTTCTTTTGTTCAGTGGCACGGGCAGGCAAGCATTCAAGTTGATCCATAGAAACGCTAAGTCTTACTGAGATTATGGCACTTTCTAAAATGAGCTTCCAGAGCTGCAGCGTCGCTATTTCAGCATACTCCCAGGTATTTCAACCTCTCAAAACACCGACTTCACTCTCAAAAGATAACAAAAATTTGTGCTAATAATGCTTTATCACTAAAGTTGCAAAAGCATCTTCATAGTTATTACCCCAACTCACTGGACCATGAGGTCCATTTCTGCAGAAGCGCAAAAGTACTAGGAGTTGATCTCTATCCTGGTAGCTCATGTACACTCCCGGTCGGATAGTGGCAATTGTGGTCAACTGTCTTGCCCAAGGAACACAAACACTATTGTACCTCTGTGGTTTCAAACCCACGCACCGTCACACGAGTCGAACACCAGAGCCGGTGCACCACAGTACTCTGGTCAGGTTCAGAGTTTCAACCACAGATGCAATACAATTAAGGGTCTTTAAATTTTTGCTTTTTTGGTTGTGTTGATTGCAGTCAGAGCCAGAGCAGGGAGATCCAGACATTGAGATCCAGGGCAGCCCAGCTGGAAGCAGACCTGGAGAAAGTCCGACGGCAGCTCACCAGTGAGCGATTCGATAAGTGAGTGTAATTCTCTCAGACCATGAAATTTACACAGCACAAACAACATTGTTGTGGTCATTTATTTGTCTCATGTATTTATATAGATTTGTTCACTGTAACTGTATTTTTCTTGACAGGGAACGAATTTCACAGGAGCTTCGTCGATCCACTCTCTCCCCATCCACCGTTGAGAACGCCAGCTACACCCGCACCTCCCTGACTAATCACACTACCTCAAGGAGGTCCACCAGTCCGCCCCGGTCATCATCTCCAACCCTCAGGTCGCTCTCGCCCAGCAAGTCGGGTCGGAGGTCGCCTGACAGGTCGATCCTGAAGTCCTCGCCGGCCTATCGCTCGTCCTCGCCCGAGAGAAGTACGGAGGATGAATTTTCAGATTTGGATGGGTTTAAAAATGGCTCAGTCAGGCACAATGGGGCAGGCAGGGACCAGGGGGAGCCCGAAGTACCCCGTTTGAATTTGTCGTGGTTGGTGAGTCTGGAAAAACTCGACAAGTCCGTGATCTCATCCTGAGTAGAGCTTTCTCTATCCATTTATGTTATCACTGTGTGCGGTGACTCTGCTCGTCATAAGTGTAGTTAGGGGCAGATTCTGTTCTCCTCTTTCCCTGGTGCCCTTACGTACTCCTGTGTTACTGATCATGGGTATCATTCATTGCATGACTGGGTCTTTTGTTTCAGTAGATCGATCATTCAGGCCTAGCCCTATGGGTGCTCTGTGATTTAAGTCAGACATGCTAGCATGTGTGTCTAACCTGTACAGCTGGAACACTGCCCACTAACACAGCGGACGTGGCCTTCCGCATCAGGTCGTTGACCTTTCGTGGATCTTATCATCACTATGTGGATATTCCTTGTTATACTTGTTTCTATTCTAATTAATGTTATATTCACATTCTCACAACTGACTAGGACGATGTTCATACGTCTGTTGTAGGACCAGGTAACCTAGCCATTTCTGTGCCACACTGTGCTTTGTCTTGCAGCTTTAGTCACTAGATGACAAACTTGAGGTTCAGCATGAAGGTTTTGGAGGGTTGACAAACTTCAAGTTACCACCTTTTTAATTTTGCATTCTCCCCTTGTGAATTTTCCCAGTAGAAAGATAGTTAACAGAGTATACAGTTTTCATTTAAGTGATTTGAGTTATCTATGTTATCTGCATGGTGTGGTTTGAAAAGAATTGTATTGATGTGTCCCTTTTTCCAACGCATTTTTTTTTCCAAGTGTGATTGGCTGATGAGTGTTATAGTTGTCAGTCGGCAGTTTGTATTCTGTTAGGTGAAATCAGTTCAGTCATTTTTTTACTGACCTTATTTTTAACTCATTTTGTTTTACCTCACACGCTGCACTCAAGGTAAATATTCACTGAACGTGCATGTTTTCATGCTGCAAGCAAAGTAACTTGATGTTCAGGTTGTGACAGTGTTTCAGTAGTAAGTGATGTTCATCACCATTTCCAACTTGGTGACTTCAATCGAGTGTGTAATGAAAAGAATTTAACGTCAACTCGTTGCTCTTTCTCAGGGTGAGGAACGGAAAGAGATCTAAAAGACAGCAACTTAAATCATTGGTGAGTTCGTTATCTTGGTCTTTTATGTATGCAAAGCACAACCTTGACTCTTGTCTCAAACATAGTCATGCACACGCAGTTGACCTTTTTTTTCTCATCTTTCACACATGGCCTCTGATGAAAACCTCAACGTTAAGCCAAAAAATTATGTCTGATTCGAGTATTGCAACTGTTTGTGATCTCTAGTGTATGCTACAGGATCAACTGCGCAGGAAACTGAACGAGTGCCACTGCCGACTTCTGGCGGGACTGCAGGCCGCCTCCCCGGGACCTTATGAGCCCTGCAGAATCACCTGTCGCTGGTGCATACAGGAGGATATAGAGAGAGCTAGGCAGCTACGGACTGACGAGTGTTGAAGGGAAAGGCAGGTGGTCGGAAGAACGCAGCCAGCAGCCTCCTGACTGGGTAAGCTTCAAGAGGACACACAGTGAAATTTACAAACTAGGCAATGGCAGCTGGGATACATACAAGGGGATTTCAAGAAGTCTGTAGACTCCTTTGGTGAGGTACGGAGCTACAGAGGTTACAGAATAGGTTTAGGTCTTGAAATTCTGAGCCGAAGAACTAGAGATTGCACCTGGGAAAAAAACACATAGTTTGAAGTCTGAGACTTAGTAATTTTCAATTGGAATGGGACATGGAGTGAAATGCTTGCTCTGGAATGCCCATAATGCATGTACTTGCCAAAAGAAGCAGATGTCGGTACAAATCTTTTCCAATTTTAAGAAATATATTCATATTGTGGAAGAGGAATGCCATTGAAAGACCAATCTCAGGTTAATATCAGTTACTTTTGAAATGAAACACATCAGACCTTCCCGTAAGTCTCAACTCCCACGGTACCATGCTGTATTTCACAAAGAAAAAAAACATGACCAGCTTTGTTGCAAAGAGTCACTTTGAGTGCAGAGGCCAAGTTTACACTTGGCAGGCCTGCTCCTCTCATAAGCTCCAGATACATTGTGTGCTCAAGTTTTCAGGTGTAATTCCCTAAGGTCCACAACCACATGTCCATCTGATACACTTGTTAAGTCTTTGAACGGTAATTTTTCTCTTGCAAGCAGCTGGCTTTCTGATATGCATACATGCAGTGTACCCTGAATGTACACGTCTCCTATTCCATGCTTCCTGCCTATTGCTCAGGGAATGTGGAAGAAATAGATGTGAGTTGTAGCAGTGTAACCCGATCATGAAGGGGAGGGGAGTGTAAAGTGAAAGAAAAGCAAAAGATACAAATTCATCATTAGAATCCTAAGACAGCGCCCCCAAACAAAACAAGAAATGTGTAAATACCTTTTCTAGAACATCGGCACTTTCAATTCCTAGAAACAAAACAAGACAAACAAAATGTCAACAACATGTCTGTAGGCAAAACCCTCCCCCCTCCACAGAGTAAGTTACTGGTGAGCAGCTGCTGTGGCATCCATCCACTCAAGGGCTTTAGGAAGTCTTGATGGCTTCATCTTATCTTGCATTGGAGGTTGTGACTTAGTGGCATGTCAGAATGTTTGATCATTTCTAACAAGTTGGTCAGTTGGAGTCAAGTTATCTGTAAAGAGGTAAACATGTCACAGCCTTGCACATTTTTTTAAATTATCTTTGAGAAGTGGGTGTTTATCATATTTCTTCATAGTCAACAGGGGAGCTTGAAAATTCGGCATTTGAGCTAAATTCACCCCAAATCCTTCTAAATAGAGTTCGTTGAAAATTGTAATGGGTACTACGTGTATTTGCCACTCTCTGTGTGTGCCTTTTCTATTGTACAAGTTTTTTTTTTTAAAGAAAGATGTAAATTTCCACATTTTTTAACAAAAATGAAATTTTCAATGACTTTGGCTGAGCCAGTCCCAAATGTTTCAATCTTCCCGAATGAACCTTAGAATTTGGCTTCATTAGTTTTCATTCCTACCTCAGTTTGTGCGTATTTCATAATGCTGTTTTAGCCTTTTTGTGTGCAAAATAGGAAATAAATTTGCCGACAGTTTCATTGTTCTGTGGAATTTTCTCACCTGTCAATTTTGTCCATTGTAAATTTAATTCTTATGCGCTAATGTAATGTAAATGAATTTAACAGCACCGGCAAAGACACACTGATATGTCGTGCCTTTCTTTTTAGTCGTGTCAACATTGTCCATTTTGATTGACAGTAATTAATTTGGTGTTTGTGAATTGTCTTTGAAAGGTTGTGCAAAAAAAGTTCATAAATGTTGTTTTGTACCCTGGTTTTAATTGTAACAGTCACTGGAAAACGAAGAAACTTTAAGGAAACTTCACGACTTGCCATTTTATATTTATGTATATAGTTACCTGTCTGTAGAGATTTATTTATTTAGTTACATATGTAGATTGTGCACCGTCCGCCATCACATGTATTGATTAATGTGGTTATGAATGTCGAAGACATGTGGCATTGATGACATTCCTGAAGGTGATGTCAAGCCACCCAGCAGGCATCTGAAACTAATAAGACGTCTGTTTTTAATTTATTGATTTCAATGCACATTTGAAGTGCATAGAGCCCAGAGACACACGTAGAATACAGCTGAGTATGGTTTGAACACATTGTGCCTCATAAGCTGTTGTGGTATTATCCAGATCGCCTTTCTTGAATCAATTTTTCCAAGCTGAGTGAAATACACAGATAAGAAAAAGCAGTGAGAATGTGTGATTTGAGAGAGGGAAAATGTTCCCGTCATGCCATGGGCAGAGATCCGTTGTGACCTGGGGGGATTACCAATACATGTGCATGTTTAATCACCCTTCCCCTAATTGAGGTGGGACCTTGGATCCTGCCTCCATGTCATGCTTCGCACAAGGATGACCTTTCATCATCCCCCACACGTGACAAGAAATCTCCGCCCATGCGTCATGGGAATGCTTTAAAAATGCATCTGTATTATGGATATTATGTTTTGTGTATGTAGATAGACATTTCCAAGTGTTCAAACCATTAGCCTAAACTGTTCAAACAAATACATGCTGAATTGGTTTCTTTGCTCAAACATTCCATGCTCGATAATGCATACAGGTACAGCAGCTGTGATTATCCAATGCACGAATGAATTACAGATGATGAATGATGAATGCGGTATATACTCGGAGCCAGTGAAAGATTTCTTTGAATCACCCCATCCTTATATGGAAAGCTCACAGTTAAGGAGCTCAGGGATTGGGCTGTTTGCAACAGGGATGGAAGGTGTCAGCCCATCGGGGAAAGAATGTTGCTGTGAATGCTGTTTGTTATTGTTGTCGTCTGTGCTTGTTTCTCTCTTAGTCTGAGCGTGGAGGAAGGACACAGGAGTTGTTACAAACTCTGACACATCAATTGCTCGATGATCATCGCCGCCCAGTCAGACGAACTATAGTAAACATTTCAAACATTCCTGATTACTGCCTGCAGCTCAGCCAGACAAGTGGGGCCAGTTATATCGTAGGAATATTTGTAATGTTTTCTTTGCAATTAACTAAAACTTATCGCAGTGACCAGTCAATAGAACGAATAAATATGTAACATTAGATTTACTTTTGCCGTCGTAATTGTTTAAAAAGACTTTGATTGACTTTTCCATTATCCCTAAAATGTTAATTTCATTTTGTCACTCCAAAACATCAGTTTTCAAAGTCTTTGTACAGATTTGGCTCAGACTGGCCAACAACATGTTGACGTCCATGGGACAGTTAAGTTCACGAAAAACAAAATGTGCTTTTGCATCACAGGGAGTGATCATGGGATCTCATAAAATACCATTTTATGTAAATACTGTAATAAAATGATAAAAATAAAATACAATATCTCATAAACAACTTGGCCATTTATTACCAAAATAAGTCCGGAACTTAAGAAAGCGTTCGATAAGGGCAATAACTGCACATGAACACTTTGGGTACACAGTCTAATAAGAGCAACTGCGCAAGCATTAAATTTGATGTCAGATCACACCAAGCACCAACGACGGCATGAATATTCATCTTCCTATACTACAGTACACAATGTTTTAAGGATGCAGATTACCGGCGAAAAATTGCTGCGATGATGATCTTGGGGTACAAATTAAAGGGGGCTATGATCGTGAAACAGGTGGTGCGTAGCAAGCCGTCGCTCCCCTCTGGCTATGGGCATACCAGACATGCTAGACAGCGGTAATTGGCCAGATGTTATAGCCCTGGCAGTTCAAATTCTTTCAGTGTCCTTCCTCCATGGTCTGAGCAAGACTGAAATTTGGACAACCGCAGTCGCGAAGTGACTGGATTCGGCTGGATGTATAGGACATTGATTTAAAGACAGGTGACTTGGTAGACTTTTGCTACTGCAAGTTTTATGGAGTGATCACTTCTTCCTCTGCGCTGATAAGCCCTGTCAGTGTTTGGCCTTTAACGAATATCTTGAAGAACGAAGCGTACACCGAGGTGTGACTACCAATTTCATTTCAGGACACCAGCACCTTCAATGCAAGTCTGTAAACCTTTACTTTCCATGTACACCAGTGAATCCTGCACAGCAACATTATGACAGGGACGCAGGCACTATTTGTTCCACAAGATGTGGCTGTGTTTGTGAAATGAAACGTTTCAACTCAACAACCGGGGGAGGAAGTGTATCTAATAGTGACGGGTGTTAGTTGTTGGCTCAGTTGCCCAAACTCAGCAGCCTATTTTTAAACATCGGGACAAGTTTGTTTGGGATAGATCGGTACAAGATCTATCTGGAATTAAAGGAGGCTACGATGTCACTGATTTATTCACTCATTGAATGGTTTTGCACAAGGAGGTGATTTTGAAATGTGTTTTTATGTGATTTACGCATATACGGTTGTCATAACTATCTAAAGAAATAAAGCTGTCTTATTAAATAAAAGATATTAAGTGTGATTGTTAAATTTATTAGAACACCATCAAATACACATTTTCTGGCAAGGCCTTTGCTACAAAAGCCATACTTAAAACCACCACGTTGATGTTGAAATAA